AATTGAAAAATAGCAAAACTGCAGGAAACTGTTGGCGAATAGAAATTATTTCATTTTTACGATTACGATAATGACAGCGGAGCAGGCAAGTTCCGAACTTAAGGACCTCAGTATTTACTTAATAGCTGGAGGGGTGTGTGGTTGCGCAATTCAGTGCAAAATTATTTTAAATGTTCGGAAAAATCATTTACGCAGGTGTTGCGTTTGAATTTACCGTTAAGCAGCTTGGTACTTACAATGCCACATATAATACTTGTATATGGCTTCCGCTGATATTTCCGCTTGCAGCGAAATGCAGTATGTTTAACACACTAAGCGCCATTACACGCTGTAAGCCTTTTCGAAATTACGCGCAGTTTAGCAACGGTTTACTATAAATCATTTGTTTTCTGAAATACAAAATAGTAAAGCGTTGACATGAATACTTGCTACCGGCAACATGCGTAGCGTATAAAACTTAACTGACGCTGGGTAATAAAAAAATTATATGATTTATATGTGTTGGCATGTACACTCGTGTGCAGCTTACAAGCAATCGCAACATTTCAGGCTCGACCAACTGCCAGCAGGCGACTAATAAAGTGTAGGCACTAAAAAGGACTGCGTAGAAAGAGAAAATTATAAAAATTATAATAAAATAATAGACGCTTGCGTATGTAGTCGTAAAGTGGCGTAGCGTTATTGGCGCCCCCAGTGCATTTAATGCGCACAAATTATATATAATGCTTTATGTGTGCTCGAAGTAATTGCTGTGTGGCACGTCAAGCGTGTGCAATGCATAGCTGTGAAGAGTAAAAAAATGAAAGCGTACAAAAAATTTTTCTATACACAATTTTACAGAGAACTGAGCTTAATTATATTTTTATTATATGTTTTTTTTTGGATTTTTTTTGGCTTTTGTTGTTGCACCCTTTTTAATATTTTCAGGTTTTCTCTTTCATTTGAAGCACTTGCATTCACAATATAAAACATTTTCTCTACTATTTTTTGAGTACACTATTTGTGTTGTACAACAACAAGCACTTGCTAGGCGCCACCGCTTTGACGGCCAGGCGGCAGCGTCAAAACAGAGTCAAGGTCTCGTTCAGCGTTAGCCAACTGCCCACTTGTGGTGTGGACTAAAAATATTGTAAATATATCTATGTGTGTGTGTGTGTGTGTTTAGTGCCACGAAAAAGGTTCAAATAGGTGTAGTGAAGGTGAAAGCGTGAGTATGCATTTAAAAAATAAAAACAGATGTCCCTGAAAAGTAGTCCCTTGTGGCGCATAAAGCGAAAAATGTGCTAATGCGCTTAAAGTTATGCAAATACTAGCTTGTTTTGACAGCTGTCAAAGGTGAATGACGAATATATTTTTCTACTCGCTTTCTTGTTGTTGTGAATTTAAACGATTTAAATCATATTTTTGTGGGTTAGATTTAGGTACTTAAGTATAATTTTTATAGCTTAAATATGCAGTTAAGGTGACTAAGCCTATGTGATAGATAATGATGAGAATACGTATGGATCTACAAAAAAATTACCTTAAAAATTGTACTTATGTATGAACTACTTCTCAGATATATATTTCTCTTCGGTATACCATAAATTTCTTCGATTATATTAAAGTGTCTACGAGTAACATATTTCCATGAAGAAACGGTCTATTATTGCTTCTTGCACTTAGAAGATAGAAGATAGAAGGTCCACGCCAACCAATACTAAGTTCCGAAAACAATCGCAGCTATACCAAATATTAATATAACATCTGATCAAAATTGATCAGGACTGATAAAAACCCTATATTTATAAGTATTTTAATATAAAGCTTTATTATAGTCTGCAACATTGGCTCCAAAGCCAACACAAAGTTTCGAAATCATCTTCATGAACCCACTTCTTGTTACCGGTAATGTTGCGTTCGCTGAATGCATCTCGCATCTCCTTTGCGAGCTTTACTCGATGTCATGCTTGCAAAAAATTCTGGTTTTGTGGTACGAGTCCAGCTTTGATACGCGTCATATCTCAAATGTGTTGAGTCGATTCATAAGAGATGTGGAACTGCTTTGTTATCTCTTTGCTACCAACACGACTATTTTCAAAAACTATCCGGTTCAAAATTGATCAGATGGCATTCGAAATTCTTTTAAAAACCACTATATACCTTGTCGAAGTGGTATATTTTATGGCTGTTATACTGAACCAAAAATTATTATTTTTTGTCTAAAAACATTTTAACTCGAAATTAACTTTAAAACTGAGTGCGGTGTTAAAAAAAAATTTTTTTTGTCCAAAAATTTTCTTTTTTGATAATCTACAGATTATACCTCCAGGCTAAGCAAAAAAAAAAAATTCTTTTTCGCTCCACCCTAATGTACATAGCATGGGAGGTTCAAATTAATGTACAATTTTAATGTATTGAATAATGAAAGATGTTGCAATCTGATAATAAAGTTCTAAATATGTATATTCCTTTGAGAAGAAGAAGAAACAATGGAGAATATCGCATATATCGAATATCAATAGCATGCAAGAAACAACAAGAACTTTATGATGACTTCCAGCTACCATGACTAGGTTTCTTCACTGACTGAAAGCGACTATCCGCCTTCTCTTTTAATCCAATTATTCAATGCGGCACCAGCTGGAGGACCCACCACTTAAGAAATACCCGCATTAAAATTATTAAGCTACGGAGCTGCATAAAGTTGATGCGCTTTAGTGAGCTCGATCGAGTTTGGTGATGATATGTCTGATGTAACAGGGGAAAAAAGGTATTGGCATTTAAATGTATTTGATTGACGTAAATGGGCACAATAAAAAATGAGGCTGATTTACCTTCCTACTATCTAATGAGTTTTATTGATTCTCTCTGTGCTAATCCCATTACCCGCAAATAAAAAACATTGCCTAAGGGTATTTGTTGGCTGTGGTGTAAAACTTTTTGTCATTACTTTTGTATTTGCTTGTATATCACTCAACAAATATCTAGAAAATGTACAATAGAAATGACAGAGTCTTGGGTTAAGCTTATAAATTGTTCGATAAATCCTGTAAAATCACATAAAGAGAATTTTCCAAGATTAATAGATAGATCACATTTTAACGGATGATCCCTTTCCAATTTTTTTAAAATAAAAAGCACAGAAAATTCAAATTTAATGTGGAATATTTATTATCATTCGGGAGAACATTCTTTGGCCGGTTGATTAAATTGCAATCCACAACGATATTTGAGAGTATTTTATTTTTTACATAGACGCCTTCCAATAATAATCAATATGATGATCACTTACAGGACAGTCTAACAGAGTCTGACTACATTTTCCGGAGGTCGAGTACTGATTAATCTCTAAACCTCTTTGAAAGTTCTGTTAAAGATTTATGCAAGCTCTCTGGACGCTCTGTGAAAGCTTTATGAAAGCTTCCTCCTGCAAACCAAATTTTTTCACTCCCCAGCAAATTTGCCTCCAGTTTGCCATTCACGATAAATTTCTAATTTATTTAATTTATACGGGAATTTTTACAACAAAACGCGTTCTGCATATTTTAAGCCACCAGCAGGAAACAGCGGGAAGCACGCATAAAAAATATGAAAAGAAAAACACAAAAACCAAAGCCAGCTGCTAGCAAAGTGGTCAGTCAAATGCTGCACTAACAGCTGCAAGCCACGTCGTGTGTGCTGGCGCAGCGCGTTGACAAGCAGTTGACAGACGAGCGTTGAGACAACAGCCATGAGAAGAAGCTCACACACAAATTGCCCGCTGGTTTTATAATGATTGCGAAGGACAAAAAATAAGAAAAAGTTGCTGCAGCTGCGGCATAATTCATTATAAATGCTAAATGGACAGGGTTTATGAGCGCAAGAAGGATAACAGATGAAGCAGAGCAAGTGTCACACATAAAGTTGTGGCAAGCAAAGTGGGGTGAGAAGGAGCTGTTTAAAAGTAATAAGGAAGCAATGTATATATATATATATATATATACATCATCTGTTTAAGCGGAGCACTTGAAAATATAAAATGAAAACAAAAAATTAAAATTAATATAATCAAGTAGCTTTTGCTTGTTCTTGGCAGTGAGCTGAGATGGTTCTCCTACAAGTTTAGTGTAGTATATCATATTTGTCATTCTTTTTGTTATTTTTTTCGCATGCTAATGACAATCATGCTCCACCATCGTTGCTCCTCTGCTCCGTTCTTTTCAACAGCCTGTCGCTTAGCTTCCAAGTGCTTGTTTCAACTAATGCAATGAAGCTGATAGTGTCACCGCTGCCGGTCGGCCAGCAAGTGGACGAAGGTTGTGTGTTGTAACGTCGTGAATTATATGTATAACTGTATACAATTTCAGCGAGCAAACAACCTTCAATGCGTTATATTGACGCTAACTTAATTAAAGTGAGGCATACTTTAAGGCGCTGACTCTATTGTGCTCATATTTTACCTTATTGTTGCACGGTATTTTATTCAATTTCATTAAATATGTCTTGCTGATAAGCAGGCTACCTGCTTTATAACTTTTTTAAGTCCGAACTGTCGATATACAATATATAAGTATATGTGTGCATGCCTTGGAGAGCTGTGTACCCGTGGCACCTGCAAAACTTTATCCATATTTTAGCACCACGCGCACGTTTGGTAAATTACATTAATAACAAGTGTTGCTATTAGGAAAATATGTACATACACACGGATATGTAATGAATTAAAGCAATAACAACACAAGAATATAGAACCTGGTGCTATTATTTGTTACTAAAAGGTCTACGGAAACTTTCTGAATTTTAAATTTTTGTTGAAAGTACGCTGTCGCTAGCTTTAAAATCTTTAATTAAATTAAAATTCGAAATTTAAATTATACAAAAAATAAAAGTGTAGAATAAAAATTTTTTTTAGTAAAAAATTTGATAAACTTTTTTTAAAATAATTCAAAAATTTATAAATTAAAAAAAATTTATACAAAAAGTAAATAAATATACTAAATATTAATCACGTTTATTTTCCCATTCTTTCTCACTTCCAGGATGGCACATCAACGTCCACAATTGCTTATAATCTCCATCTCCCTGCTTTATTGGTTCCGCCACACGGGCGAATGTTGGAAATTCGATGGTGGTGGTCCCGGTGCGCTCGGTCCTAGCGCGAACAATCCACCTGCCCTCAATACGCCGACATTTATTGCCACCTACACACATTTGCGTGCGCCACGTAGCGCTGCGGCGTCAGCTGTGGCTGCACGTGGTCCGCCGCCAGCTGTGCCGCCACCAAGTGGGAATGGTGGCGTAATGGCGGGTGGCAGCTTCGCGGCGCTACTAAATGGCCAACAACAGGATATTTTGTATGCGTGTCCGCTGAATAGTATGTGTCAGTGTGCCGGCTTGCCGAACGAGACCTCGACACTGATCGAAATCAATTGCAACGAAGTGGCGCTGTATAAATTTCCGGGTGAGTCAATTGGATATTTGAGAAACTGTTGTGCTTTCAATACAAAACAAGTAGACTTTTGAATTGAAAGTTTTTTTCACAATTTTATTTTTTAATATAATATTAAAAAAATTGTAATAGTGGCAACTCTACTAAGAATAAGTAAAATTATTTTCGTCCTTGATATACTACTTTTTGTAAAAATTATAATTTATTTGTTTAAAAAGTTGGTTTTCATTTATTGAAATTTCTTGTTTAAATGAGTATTGGTAACCCTATTTAAATTTTTTTTTAAATTGATATTAAAAACTTTTTTTCTCCAAACAAATAACTATAAATACAGTTTCGATGAACCAGCTCTATTTTAAATTGAAATAGGCCTTCCAAAAAGTTCGATTTATATAATATATCTTTAAATGCTTTCATTTATTAAAACAAAATTTACCTCTATTGCAATTAGATTTAAAAAATTCTAAAAATCAGCCAATCTGGCAAATCTACTCAGATTATTAACAATTTATTATAGTAAGGTACCAAAACTAACAAATTTGAAAATATTTTAATTAATATTTAGTAAAATATAAAACTAACTAAAAGCAAGTAGGTGGCAACGTTTCTGGAATATTTATGTTTTCGTTGATATTTTTCGTTCAAATTTTTATTAACACACACTGACAAAAATGTTAAAACTGCACTATTGTACTAAAAGTGTTGCTAGTTTCAGTACATCTGGCAAGCTTTATTTAAAATCTGTCGAAAGTTAAAAAATGTTATAATATTTTTATAGTGATAACAAAATTAAGCTTAAGTTGCAGACTTTCTCTTTAGTTCTTTAAAATTTGTTTAATAAAACTTTACCATAAAAATAGGTGGCACCATGTTAAATGTGCCCTCTTTTATTTAGAAAATAAAAATAATTTATGAAAATTTCCGAAAAGTCAACTAAAGGTGCTGCCTTCCTAATAAGTTTTTTATAATATCTTTTATAAAATTTTACCAAAATAATATAGGTGCCAACCCCAAAAAAAAAGTTTTCTCTTTTTGTTTCGCTTTTGTTTAGACCTTTCTCAATTATTTACTTATTTCAAAAATTTTATATTTTATTTACTAAACCAGTTGGCAACCCTGCACTTATATTTATTTGTATATATAATATGAAGGCTAGAGTTTGTATAGAAATTCTCTTTGTGTATATATTTATGTTGATTTAAATATAAAATTCGTTATTTTATTTATTAGGTGGCATCACCTTAAATATATGTATATTGTTTCAATATTTTGCCTATACCTTGGTTTCATCTTTGCATTAAATTACTTACATATTTGAACTAAAATTTTATTCTCATTACATATTTATAGTGAATTTATTTCTAATATGCAGCAATTTAAAGTTCCCAATTTTAATATTTACCCAAATTAATTTTTTATCAAGCAGAAAATGTATACCTAGCCAGCAAAAAAAAATTAATTTTCCCTTTCGGCATGCTCCAATCAGCCGACAAACTTTGGCAACAATTAAAATCTTCTACAACACTTCATCATCATAAATCTTATTGTCGGATCCTTTTCATTATTTTTTTTTCGCTTTTGTATTTTTGCTGGTTTCTCGGTCAGTGCCAAGCATTCATTGATGTACGCTTGCCAAGTAAAGGGTTCAATGCAACACAAGTTTGAGGGGAGAGAAATCAGTGGACAGCCTTACAATAAGCAAAATAAAGTGGGTTACTTGTCGGCTACACATAAATAATAGATGGACCGAAGTGGAAGGATAAAATGAACAAATTTCTGAAGGCACAAAATTTTTAAGCAGATATTTTACCACTTTTGTGTTAATAGAATTGATGAAGGAGAGAGCAAAAAAGTGATAATAGAGTGTAAATTGAAAGTATATGAAAAAGAAAAAAATTAGTTGAAGGAATGCCGGAGAAAGCGGTTTTAATTATTATATTATACTTGTGTATATAAAATTGTAGGATTTGAGTATGGGATGTGAATATCAGGTTTTTATTTTCCTTGATTATTATTAAATTAAACACAAAAGAGATCAAATTACAAGGTTTTAAAACAAAGAAACTGATATTTTATAAATTAACACTCGAATACAAAAATATAATCTATACAGGTTCATTTATTCGTTCAAATATTTTTTCCTTTTTATGTATGAATCCTGCCATTAGACGGGTCAAGAAAATGGTAGTTCTAATGAGAGAGAAATATCTATATTTACGTGGCCTGTTGAGATTATTATTTAAAAAAGTCATAAAGTTCTACAAATATTATATTTACTGCAATTCGTTTATACCGAAAACATATTAACAACTTGCTAAAATTTTCAATAACGATCCTAATTGTAGGCAATCTGGTCACTTGTTAGCTAAGACACATACCAAAATTTATAGTAAAACCTAATAAACACTTTGCAGTGGAGAAAAGCAAGAGGTTTACTGTTGTGGAAGCTTATTTACATCTTGTTAGATGATGAAATTAGGCAAACGCTCTGATCTTGTCTGAAGACATACAAGATCATTCAAGCAAATAGTTGCTTAAAAGTAGGCAACAAGAAATGCTGTTTTATTTTAACGAAGTTACGCCCCTAATTAGGAATATGAATTTGTCGAAATTTGTTTGCACCGATAACATATTCACCCCAATAGTTGTCAACCTTATCGTGTTTTACGTTGTCATTTTTTATCTAAGATACATACCCAAGTTAAAAGCAATAAAATATATGTGCTTACTTTATATTGGCGAAAATCAAGCGGTCTTCGATTGCATTGAAAGCTCAGGTACCTCTCGCCAGCGTCTAAAATAAGTCAAACAATCTCAGTTACCTTGTATGAAGCTATACCAGGTCATTCTCGAGAATCGCCCTAAAAGTAGGCAACGAGAAATGCGGTGGTATTAAGCGAAATCACTGTTTCAACTTAGCGATGATAATTTGTCAAAATGTTTAGCGCTTTTATATCGTTAACATATTAACCACTTCGCTAAACTCTTTAAACATGATTAATAGGCAATCTTACAGTTATTGTACGTTGTCACATTTTAGTTAAGGCACATACATATATTTTTGGTAACAACATGTTCAAGTTTGTAGTAGCAAAAGGTTTTCAATTGTGTGAAATAAGTCAAACATTCGGAGCTACCTTGTCTGAAGACGTAAAAGATCTTTATCGGGAATAGCTGCCTAAAAGTACGCATGTAGAAATGCTGTGATATTTTAGCGAAGTTCAACTCTAAACTTAAGGATGCCAATTTGTCAAAATCTTTAAATAGAATGCTTTAAAATAAATGTTGCACATAAATGCAATTAAATTATTTTCAAAAAAATTTTAAATAAAATTTTCGCTTAAAAATACTTAAGCATAAGAGGTGAATATGAGTGAGAAAAACATGAGGTTATACCTTAAAATGCTTAGAACTTAGAGAAAAACTACGAAAGGCGAGAGCTTCCATCCAATAACACAAAAAACTATCATTCTAGTTCGTTAATCGGGTAAAACGCTACTTAAATTTAAATTGCGACGCATCTTAAAGTCTCTACGATTTGTTTATTTATTTATTTTGTACACTCAGATTAAAGCTGCAACAATTCGCTGCATTCGCACAAAAATCAAAACAAATTAAATCCAAGAGAATTAAATGAAACAAGAGGCAAGCCAAGAGACAAGAGCCAACTGACGCCGTTCACATTATGCCAACTGCACTACAACAGTAGACACAACTACAAACATACAACAATAAAATAAGTAAATATATCTGTCTACAGTATCTCTCCACTCCAGATCAACTAGCGCTATCAACTAATCTAGCTTTACGCCAAAATCAGCCGTTTCCTGTTCCGTTGCGCACTTTAAGCTTTCTGCTGCCTGCCGCCGGTCGCCTGCCACATGGCTTTCAACCATCACCTTAACATTGTTTTTAACCCCCACAACAAAACAATTCCCCTGCACAGTCTTCCAACTGATTTTATTCGCTTCGTTGGCGCATTGTCCGACAGCACTAAATTAAGTTTTGTATTTAAGTTTGCCAATTAGTTTCGAAATGAAATTGTTGTCGACTTGGCCGGTTAATTTTCATTTGCCCTCCATTTGCTCCCTCTTGCATTCTTGTCTTTCGATATGTTTTTCCTTCAGCCTTCATTCATTTCAGTGTGCTTTCTCAAGGTCTGTTCGTCAGCGCAACTACTCGTTTTGTAGATTCCTCCTACCCGTGCAGGTTTGTCATTTTACGCCTCTTTCCACTCGCTGCTTATTCGTGCGCTTGACTGGTCTGCCTTTTGACCGGTTGTTTTCCACTTCCGTTTCCGTTTCGACTGCAACATTTCTAGCGCAATTTTCATTTTCTCCACGACATGACCGTTGTTATTTTGTTGTTTATAGTTTGGTATTTTTTTTTTGCTACCATTGTTTATGAGCGGCGTATTTGTGTTGCCGCCGTTGCTTGTCATGTCTTGTATCCGAAGTAATGCTTTACGGTCTTTGGCCTTGTTACTCTTTAATACTCTTATTGGTAGTCTCGTGCATAAGTCGCTGCAATTGGTAACCCTTTCGACTAGTTTCATGTATTAAATTTTCTTTTTGGCTTGCTCAATTACAATACAGTGTTATTTCTTGCTCTCTTCTGACCTTTTACTGCTCTTAGATCTCTACATTTTAATCGTTTCTCGCCCATTTGGTATTAGCCTAGCTTTCGATTGTGTTTTGTTGCTTATCTATTTTTTATGTAGATTTGCCAAAACAATGCAAAAACATATCTCTTATGATTAGCTTTTTTAATATAATAAAGCGATAATATGAACCTCAGTCTTGCAAAAGCTTGATAATAAATGAGAAAGTGTCCGGATGCTTACACCTCACTTTCCTCCATCTAATTTTGACAGTTAGCGTCCGATAAAATGTTTACTTTTATCATATGCATACCTATTTCGCAGTGGCCAGTAAGTACTCCTACGATGATCCTTACTGAGAGCAATTAATTCAGTGGATATTCTAATATCAGATAGTATATAACAAGAGAAC